TAGATTCTTCAAGTTCTTGTCGAGTAGAAACAGGTTTCATTCTTTCAATTGGTGCAAGTTGTAAAAACACTGCTTGGGCAATTCATTCTTGTGGTTGAATGGTATATGGGACTTGAGAGTTATTGTACAATAATACTCCAATATTTCCAGTATAACCAGAATCAATAGTTTCAGCTTTCACTTCAATTCCTTTCTTTGCCAAAGAGGAGCGAGATATAAGTTGGCATACAGTTCCAGAAGGTATTTCAAGTGCAATAAATAAATTGATATAAGTGGTTTGTTGAGATTATATTTTAATTGGTTCTTCTCCAGTGTATTTTACATCAAATCCAGCATCATTCTCATGGGCTTTTTGAGGTATAGCACCTTTATTATTATCATTATAAATCTTGATAACCAGGTTTGCTTTTTTTGAACTGGTAACTTGGCAGAGTCAAGGGTATAGTAATATTCAAGTATCTCGTTAAGTTCATCAATCATTTGATTTTCCATTTTGGTTTTAACTTTTGAAGCTAGTTGCTGTAAGGAAGTGATCATGTTCTCAGCTTGGGTTAATATCTCTTCAAGTTCAAAATCTGGTTTTGGATACATTGGTACTTTATTCTTGTCGACAGACAGAATGGTTTCTGGAATTTCAAGCTTTCAGCAATCTTCACATTGGTTGCTATCGCAGGGAATCAAACATTCAGTCCATAGTTTGACATTGATATATTTCAGTTTAGCGAGTTGTATATATCATTCTGGTGAAATTTGTTGATAAATTTGATGAAATATTTCATTGGGTAAAACTTCTTCAGAACTGGTATATTGGATTAGTTCTATTTGTTCATCAGCATCTTCAGGTCAAATGTACCAGGATAGGATAGCTTTTCCAATTTCATTATAGGCAAAATATACATCTATTAGAGATCCTTGCTCTCTAAGCTTTTGAATAGTTCTACGATTATTTTGCCATCCTCCTTGATTAAACCAATAGATGCATTGCTCTTCATATGTGCAAAAGTATTTCTTGTCATAGCATCCAGTAATGTACATGTACTTTGCTTCGTCTCAGTATTCACAAACTGCACATTGAGGTAAGTTTAGTTTCTTCTCTTTATGGTATTGTTCACATGCTCCAGGAATAGTTCCATCAACTAGACAATATGATGTTCCAAAATATTCATCTATATATTCTTTGCATTCATTGCATTGCATTATATGTTCTGATCAAATTTCATTTTCAAGAGCTAATTCCATGGTGAGATATTTGTTGGGATTTCGATTTTTGTTGAATATTTGTCACTCTACTTCTTCTGCCCAATCATTCTTAGTTTTATATTCAGCATTATATTGTTTGTGATAGAGGATAGTAATCTATTTTGCAAGGTCATCATGGCATTTTTGACATTTGTCTTCTTCTCAATATAATTTCTTATGGCACCAATATTGTCAATTTGTCCTCTCTAATCATAATGCCAGTTATCATCTCAGTCTTCAGTTTGTTGAAACTGTTTATTAAGTTCGATAAATTGTTCCCAGGTAAATTTTCGCCATTGGTGTTTGACACCTTCTTGGTAACATTGAACTTCTCGGTATAAAGATACACTACAGGCAATTTCTTCAGAAATTGGATGATGATCAATTTGATTTAGAGTGCGAATATTATTTTCAACAAGAGTTCATTTTTCTTTTGTGATTGTTCGTATTTTTTCTTTATCATTAAAGGTAATGGTCTTTTTAGTTTTCCGGAGTTGGGTTTGCCATTGTTGTTGTTGCATTAAGAAAGTTCGTTTTTCCAAATATTGTTCTTTGACTTCTAATTCGTCATCAGTTAAGCTTTCATTAGAGATGTCTGAGTCATCAGACCCATCAATATTAGGTAAATCATAACCTTGGCCATAGATGAATTTGATATTGGCTTGTCCTTTCTGACCATTTCATTCAAAAGTCATAATATTCTTTTTAAGATCCAAATTAGCTTTGATTTTGTTAAGCCAATCCATTTCAACAATCACACTATAACTTTGTGCAGGAGTAACATCGACGTCAGCTGGAATAGTGAGTTTATCAACAGTAATTGGAAAGTTATCGATAGCTCCAAGTGGATGATTAACAGTTCCAGTAATATCAGTCATAGCAACCTCAGATTTTCGTTGGATCTTGATATTCCACTTCTTTAAGAACTCATGGCTTACAACACAACCAGATGCTCCAGTATCAAGAATTAGATCAATTGATACAGTTTCAATCTTTGTTTTACACCAGGCTGAGATAGTTCTTAGCTTTTGTCTGACCATAGCTTTGCGTTTTGAAATTCTTTTGGATTTGATTGATCTTCTTAAATCTTTGGATAGTTTGAGCTTTTGTTTAGGAGAAGTTCAAATAAGTTGACCAAATGAGATATTTACTTTTGCATCGACCATATCCTCTAAGATATCATAAGGCAAGAATTGATCAGCAAGAACTGGTAACACTGCTTTGCCTTTCTTCTTTCTTACTCATTTTTTAAGTTCAGTGATTTTAATTGGTACAGTTGGTTCTTGCATGTTTGGAATAGGATATCAACAATTGGATTACTTGGTCCAGCTTCATCAGTATTATCTTCCATTATAACATCATCATTATACTTTGTTTTGGCTTTCTTTCTTTCATTTGCATTATATTGTTTGTTCACAAGAAGAGTGGTCCTAGGAGAGTTATTAGATAAAGATTATTGTTCATTATTTATGGATTGTAAAGCCATAAGTAATGGTTGTAATTGATTCAAAAGAGCTGTGTTATTTGTTGTATTGGAATTGTTTATCGGTGATTGATTATTGTGGTTGGTATTATTTTGAATATTGTTGCCTTGGTTCTGGTTTTGTCTCAGCTGGTTTTTCCAGTTGTTGTTGCTTTAACCTGCATTTCGTCAGAAATTTTCAGGATTGAAGGGTTAACTGCACATTCTAGAGGTATATTCAATTTCTCTACAATTATAACAAGTAGGTGATTGGTATTGTTGGTTACAGTTTTCAAAATTTCAGGGTTGTTGTGGTGATTTATTTTCTATTTTGTCTAATCGAATGGCTATTTGTTGAATAGCTGAAGCTAGGGTGATCATATCAGAGAAATTTTGTGCCAGATTTTAATGACTTGGTTTTAGTACAGTTTCTTTTTTAGCTTCTTCAGATAGTTTTGCTGCATCAACAAGTTCTTGAAAGATATTTCTATCTTGAAAAGTGGTCCATTTTCGAATGGCTGGGTTCAGTTCACGTCGATATATTCTTTTCTTGTATGATAGAGAATAATTTTCATCAGGATCTACTTTGTGCATTAGTTCATTGAATCAGTTGATGTACTGTTCAACAGATTCAGTTTGTTGCAAAGTTTCAAGCTCATCTTGTCATCTATCCAATTTTTGTTGGATTCTAAATTGTTGTTCGAAGCAAAACTTGAAATTGGTATGATCTTGATTGCCATTTGACCAGTCTTGTAGTGTATTATTTTGTAAATTTCATTGTTCATCGAACCATGATGCAGCAGCACCTTCAAGATATTCACAGACAACTTGAATCTTTCAATTATTAGTAATTCTATTGGCTAGTGCTGTCACTTCCAAATCTTGGAGTCATTCTACAGGATCTTGATCTCCATTTTTGTATTTTCGGATTTGAATAATCATCTTTTCATTGTTTTTATGATTTAGTGAAACAACTAATTGACCAATTACATCAATAACTGCTTGAGTGATCATTGTGGTTATTTCGAAATGGGGTACAGAAAAATCAGGATATGTGCTGAATTCAGTTATGAAGTTGTAACTGCCAGTAAAGAAGTGATTTATTTTAGTTGCTTCTGTGTTGCTAGTTGTCTCAGAGTAGAAGCTATTAGATAAATTAGGATCTTCTTTGAATTCTTGGTTGAGAAAACCTTCAAGTGTTGTTTTAACTAGGAAGAGTTGATGTTCAACTGTATGTCGATTTTGATAGATTAGAGTGTTTAATAGTCGAATTACTCGTCTTCGTAGTTCTTCTCTTTCAATAATATTAGGATCTGCTATAATAATGTCTTCGAATAATTGTTTAGTGATGAAAGATCCAGATATTGCACCTCGTTCTTGGATCCAGTTGAGAAAGTTGGCTAAGAGTTTAGTTGTTGTATCAGAAGGTGAAAAGCAGATATGGCAATAATATTGTTGATTTATTCGAAGTGTTGTTTCTCAGTGTTGATTTTCCAGGTGAGTGTTAAGATGTGCGGTAGTAGGTTCTCCAATAAAGTTATAATAATCGTTCATAAAGGGGGATTTTAATTAAGAGTTGGAATATAAATATTTATAAAGGGGATTATAAAAAAAGGATTTGTTTTCGGTAATTGATTTTTAAATGAGGTAAGAGGATTAATTAAATAATAATAGAAGGAAAAGGAGTTTGATAATTTGGGGAATTCACGGAGGTTTGATTTTTGGAGACTAATATTTCACAAAGGGACTGATATTTCACAGAGGGAGCACCAAAATATGCTACAATTACTTTAAATAAAGGATTTCTTCACTATTAGTAAAAGAGTCATATAAGTTGGAAGAGAGAAATAGACTAATAAAATTGGTCAGTGCAAAAATAAGTATCTAAGCCTATGCCAATTTTGACAGAAATTGTTAAGGGTAGAGTATGCAATGTCACAAATCAAAATATAGATTATTTTAAGTTTATATCACCGTGTCACAAATGGTGATGTGGCTAATAAATCCGATCAAACATATTAAATTCGGTTTTGGTGATCCATTTGATAAATAATGGCAAATGATAAATGAAAAACTCGAGTTATAAAAGGAATGCGAGAAGTAGAGAGTAGAATAACAAAAAAATATAAACAATGTTTTTATTGATATAAAGCCCTTCTGTTATAACAATAATCATCATCTGCGAGAAAGCCAAATAAAAAAAATACTCCATCATGAATACATAAATATATTACATACTTTCTTTTCGTATCAAACTATCATTTCTGTAGTTTGCATAATGACTGAAAAATACGGCTATTCAGTTTTTAACCTTTTTTTTATTAGTAGCAATGCTCTTGCCTTTGCCGGGCTTTACAGTAGTAGTTTTAGCATCTACCATAGTGATCCCCAAGTATTCACAAGTTAAACTCATATTTACAGAATTGCTAAGACGAAGTTTTTTGGTGGGTGGTTCGGAAAGATTCCTTTGTTGTTCTAGCTCCCCCTCGCCAATCTATCGAAAAGAATTAAAAAAATTATGTGGTACAGGTGAAAACGAAAATGTGATACTGATTCACCTTACTTTGATTTATCCCTTCTTACAGCCATTATTCTTTGTAGAACGCATTATTTGTCACGAAACACATTGTTCTAAACGCACTTCTGTTCGGTAAATCAGAATATCACCAATCCCACTAATTTGTGGCTTTGGATGATATCCAAGAGTCGTCCACTGTTACCGTAGTAACATAAATTTCTCTAATTCGATAATCTTTCATTGATTATGCGAAATTCCCTTTTTCTTAATT